TGGCCCTCGCTGAGCGATACTAGGGTGCTAGCGACAGGCGGTGCGGCTGCCGCGGGAGGGGTGGGGGTAAGCTAAGGAGCTCATGAAACCGTTGTCGAATTTATGTGGCATGAAATTTATGCCGATCCGACGTCGTGCTATCAGGGCATACGGCGCCTAGCTGCTGGCTCCTAATGGACGAAGGGTGAGGAAGGAGTGAGGATGAAGTGAATAAGGAATAGTCAAAAAATGACTAAGGAGTGAGAATCGTGAGGGAAAATGGTGCAAAGGTGTTTAGTGGTGGTACAAATAGAACTCAGGAGAAGGGTGCTGGGAGGATATCGGCAAAGAAGCACGCACGATTGGAGGGGCAAGGCGGGTTGATGACAATCTGGTATCGAGATTAGAAAGGTGTTGGCAGAATTTTGAAGGTGAGAGGGAAACTGAGTGAGGATAAGAGAACTAGGAATAAGGGTGTACGGACCACGAGAATCGTGCTGCCACGCTATTATATAGGACAAGCGTTTACAACTGCCCTGGGATATATAATACGTGCATTTCAACGCTGCCTTAATAACGCAACATTTTCTCTTGGTCAATCTTCGGTCACGAGTTCCACACTTCTTCTTATCGTCTCAAAAACCTCATAAACCACGCACGCACGCACGCACGCACGCACGCACGCACGCACGCACGCACGCACGCACACACACACACACACCGAGGAGAACGACACTGACGGCTTTACACTGACAGCGTTTGTCATGCCATTCAGAGTTCCGGCATTCAGTGTGCGAACACCTCAGTCTGCTACGGCCATGCTTAATAAACCCCGCTCTACGAGCGAGGGAACGTGAATGGTAACCCGGTAATACGTCGCAGCGCATTATGCAGCGCCAAATGAAACCCGTTCTCATATCTAGATCGATGTTAAGTATTTTGGCGTGTATTGGGGCTGCCTTGCCCACGGGCACTCGCCTGCCTGCCTGCCCCCACCCACCGTACCTCGCCACTCGTTACGCAAGCTTTTAATTCTGAGTTACGGTAATAAATCACGATCAATTTCTAGCCTTGTCGTGTGTTTACTTAAGCTGGGTTTATGCTACTGAATTTGTGTTGGCGAATTGGCGAATAGGACCAACTTCCCAACTATGCAACCGACAATCGGCAGTGTAAACGCAAAAGTTGCGCGACCAACCGTTCGATGGCAACTAGTTGGGAGATTAGAACATGTTCTATTTTCGCCAACTAATTGCTAAATTAAAAATTGCGCCAACGTTAAGTCGGTAGTGTAAACCCAGCTTTAGTTGCTATAACACGGCGACATGTTGAGTTGGGGGAGGTGGGTGTGTTCTGATGTTGTTTTCTTCAAGGCCTCAAAATGCAAGAGTGTTTTTTTAGTCGAGGGATAATTCACTTTGAATGAGCGCTAAAATGGTACATCGCAGTACCATAAAAACAACCTCCCCATTTCTCAAAAATAAGAAAACGACAAGTGTGTTGGGGGATGGTGTTTTGGTGCTTACGTATGAGGCGCAAACATGTATAACGCTACAGCAGCCAACGCACATTAAAGTGATTACGACACCGTAAATAGTAAAAGTAAAGAAATAATCAAATTTCGTCCACTTTTTCACAAAATGTCAGTGATTCTGTTCGCTTTTTATGGTTAAATTCCTGCATTATACTTCCTATTTTGTTATTCCGTTCGATATGTGAACAAACACTCGTGAGTCATACATAGCCAATAGCAAGCATTTAATGTCGTGATCGATATATCAAATCGCCCAGGTTTTTTGGGGATTTTTAACTAGTTGAGAAACAATCGTAGCAGGTAAGAATTTTAGGATACATTTAGTCCCGTTAGTACTTACATTTCATATTTAAAAGAAATTGCACCAAAAATTTTACAAATACCATACAAAATTCATGACATAGTCAATTTAAACGCGCCTTCCCCGAGAAATATGTATCTAAACACTAATACAATAATAATACAATAAGCCTGTATAAGGCATATATCTCTGCTTCACAATAAGCACGTCAGGTAAAAGAACCGTTAGTCTACGAAGTTTCGACGGTGGTCTACGTGCCAGACTTCGAGGCAGATCTTTAACCACGCCCCGCTGGGCCTAGCTGCCTCTACAATAAGATACGTTGCAATAACAGCGTGCCTTCTACACGGCCTGGCCACCCTTGTCTACGCACACGTCAGTCTTCACGCTCAATAGAAACCGACAAACAGAAAGAAAAAAAATAGGAACCGAAGATCAGATCTCGAACTGATATAATAGGCAGCGAAATAACACGGGATTCCGTTTAACCTTCGTTTAACCTTCGTTTAACCTTCGTACACGCGATACGATCTATGCTGTGTAGTGGCGGATCCAGGATTTTGATATAGAAGGGGGCGTAACCGCGTAGCCAGCTGGGCCCGTTTCACGAAGCTATCGTAAAAACACCATCTTAAGGATATCCTTAGAATTCTTGTACGAGAGCGCGTTTTAGCGGGGGTTAATAATGACAAATTGTCACAATTTGACATTATTATTAGTGACAATTTGCCATTATTATTAGTGACAATTTGCCATTATTATTAGTGACAATTTGCCATTATTATTAGTGACAATTTGCCATTATTATTAGTGACAATTTGTTATTATTATTAGTGACAATTTGTCATTATTATTATTAACACCTGATTTTAGGGGGTGCGAATTTTGTGATAGCGCCGGTGCGCGCGCGTCGCGTGCCGAATGGGGTGAGGGACAAAAAATAGGGGGTGACCCCTCCTTGGATCCGCCACTGCTGTGTATCACAGGCACTTGGAACACATTCTTGTTGTTTGTGCACAGCGGCGTGCGTGCGGTGCACTTGTGTGTTGCAGAGGAGCATTTGAACGGCATTTACAGGAAGTTATTGGCAATAATAGGCGAAATAGTGTCGAGAACATTAAACTTTGATTTAGTAATACATTTCGTGTTTATTTACCATCATTTACTACTATTGAAACGTCCAAGTGCGTGTTGCTGTGTATCATCATCATCATCGTCATGCATCATCATCATTCATCAATCATCATCATCATCACATTCATCATCAATCAACAATCCAGGAATCGCCACAATGGCCGGGAGGAGTGGCGCAGCTACGACCACTATACA